AGAGAGTCGACATACTCAAAATATCCAAATCAGTAAAGTTACTGGTGAACATGAAAAATGCATCTTTTCTTATATGGAGCAAAGTAAACAAACTCTTTGGCCAACCCAATACTCCACTCTCCTTAGATTTTACAGTCTGTACGTCATCCGGCTGAGGAGCGATACCATCAGACACAGGGTCTTCGAGAAGGGTCTTTGGCCTGTGATGTAGTGTGTGGTGACCGCATGATTTCTGAGAAAAGTTCGGTCAAGTTATAAGGCAGCAAATAAGCGTTCAAAGCAGTGATTGTTGAGCTGCGTATTTGCAGAGAACTCTGGTCTTGACGTCGTGGGACCTGCATTCGAGTCCTGGCTGTGTTGCTAGTGTGATGTTGGTGAGAACTTGCCAGTCTCGGAGCTTCTGGCGTTTCATCCGCAGACCCAGAGAGGAGACCTGAGGTATCTTTCAGTTCCTCTGAGGCTGCTGAGTCTGTCTGGCCTTCTGCGTGTCCGTGTGGACGGCCGCTGTATCCAGGGGCATCGCTTGGGGTGCACAGAATCCCCCTGACTGACTGCCATCTCTGTGAGTCTGGGGAGCAGTTGCGAATGGTCGGAGTGGGCAGGTGGCTCCCCAGCTCTGCTGCTGCGGTCCGCTCGTCTGTCACCGTCTGTGTGTCCAGCCCCTGGAACCAGTTCGGAGGCCCTGGAGAATGAAGCCCCAAGTCCTTTCTGACACTTCCTTTTTAACTTATGGTGTGTGAACCTAAGAATAACTCAGCGGGAAGTACTGATGCACTATTCTGGGACCTGATTTTTGTCCACTGGGTGGGCTGGTCTACCCGTGAAATCCCTTCCTGGTGAGCTCACCAGGCGTGTTTCACGGGCATGGGAGTTCTGGGACAGAAACGTTTGCACCTCTCCTGTCACTGACTTGGCCCCGAGGTGTGAGCTCCGCTTGCAGCTATGGGTGAGGGCGGGGCCACGGGCAGGCTGTCCCCAGGCCACGGGCAGGGGGGGCCCCTCAGTGCGCACTGCGCCTCACGGCACCCTCGCCGCCCCTGCCTCCAAATCACACACACACACACACACACACACACACACACACACACATCACTGTGGCGAGTCTCACAAGGGCATCTGTTCAGGGCCCCCCTGTTTTTGTGCTGGTCAGAGCTGAGAGGTAGGAAGCTTGTTATCTAAATGGTACCTCGTTGAGTCAGGCCTGGATTATAAAACTGTCTTCAAAATTTGTGACAGCTTTATGAGTAACAGGGTCTTTTTAAAGATAATATCTATTTCTTTGGAAGTACACCATGGCTTAATGAAGATGTAGGTCACACAAGCTTTACCCAAACACGCCAATCTAAGACCTGCAGCTGAACAAGTACTTTGTGTGAATATGGGAAGTATTGTTCAATATTGCTCTGATTTTTCTCATAATTTGTATGATTATAATCTGCTTATTCTAAAATTGTCTTCTCTACTGGAAATATATATACCTCACCAAAGGATCTGAATTTCATACAGCTCCTTAATAATATGTCTAGTGCATCAAATCAGTTGATACTTATCTGGAAATGTTGACGATTTTCAAGTTAAAAAGCGTGTATGAGAAGAGAACCAGTAGTTCCAGGAGAGGACTGCATGTAACATCTTTACAAGCAGAGTCAACCACAACAGCGAAGCCCGGGGAACCCCCTGTAAGGGGTCACGAGACCCTGCTCGGGCCGAGCTACCTTTTACGAGGGAAGTCTGCAGGGGGGCGTCTGAGCTTTGGAAGAGGTGCCCCTGAGCTTTCAATCCTGGCCCAGTATCTTACTGGCCACGTGTCCGTGAGCACAATACTCAACCTCTCTATTAGTTTTCTCCCTTGTAATACAAGGTGGATAACACTACCTTGCAACATTATTGAGGATGAGATGGAATAATATATACAAAATGCCTCCCACAAAATAGATATTGAAGAAAGGGGAGCTGTCGTCAATATTATTCTATTTCTGTTACAGAAAGGAAATATCCTTTTCATTCTGTTGGAGAGCATTCATTTAAAAAAAAAACACTTTGTTTATATTGCTTATATGTGAGTTGGAAGCATCACAGGCAGGAATGAGTTAAAATGATTTTTTCTTTTAATTAATAAGAAATCGATAATGTCATGAGGGTGTTTCATTTCTTCCAAAGGGAACGTGAGACAATCAATAGCACTTACTGATATGAGCACTGCACGCAGTTGAAGTGAAAGCCAGTGCCCACGCCGTGGGTCCGATGGGGAGGGCTCCGGCCAGAGAACCACCCCCTCGCGGTGGGAAATGGCCCTGGACAAATCTAGGATCACACACCAGCTGTGTCCTTGCCGCGTGGGTTTGAGCAGGGCTTGCGGGAGGGTGCGAGTCCCAGGAACATCCTTATCTCCTGTGTCAAGTTGCAGTTGTTTATTTTCAGTGGAAGCCCTAACAGAGAGCTGGAACATGATGGAAACAAAATGTCTGTTTTTATTTTTTACTTAACCAATATCATTGTTACTAATTAATACTGATTCACTGTCTTTGTTCCTGGCTGCGGTTTAGCCAAATAGACTATCCCCACTTGACCTTGCCTAATAGAATTCCACTGTTTAAGGAGCTGACACAGACATGGACTGATAACAGCAAAGTGAACCATAGATAAACTAGATAAACACAAAAATGAAAGTGAATATTAATAAATATTAGATAAACACAGGGTAGAAAAAAGCCAATCAGTAACGAGTAGGGACGTGAGACAAAGAAAAGGAAACTGAAACCAAAGACAAGACTGAGGAGCCCTCCTCCCAGCGCCCTGCCCTCGCAGAACGGGCCTGCTCCGCCCTCTGCTGGCGGGGGGCGCGTCCTGCAGACTCCGCGGCACCCACTGGTGGCCCCTGTGCTTTCCATGAACTGTTCTGCCTTTAAAACCTTTTCCCATCAACTAACCCCAGATTCATTTGTAGTTCGAGGTAGCTTCCCTCTTTCTGGGATACTCTAACTTTTGGGTTATTCCTTGATTTTAAGGCTTTGGTTGCTGTTCAATTACAGAGATCCTGGAATGGGTATGTTTTTAAACAGACATTTCCATTTCCATAAAGCTGTGAAGTGGCGGGTGTGGGGAGCAGCACGCGGTATCTGGGAGTCGCCTTCGGCCTGTGGTGGAGACACCAGCCGCCTTCCAGACCCTGTCTTTGTAGCCAGATCCTGACGTTCAGCTGGGCACCTGTTCACCCAGCATAAGAACCACATTTTCCAGCCAGCCTTGCAATGAGACACTGTAATCTAGCAAGACCTATGCTGTGCTCAGAGGGTGGGAGCGGCCCTTCATTACTCCTTCCTTCCCCATACCCGGTAGGTGGAGGTAGGAGCGGGGCCCCAGAGGGCATCTGCTGGCCTTGGCAATGGAACTGGTAGGTGGTGGCCCGACTTCACGCAAAGCTAACATGCTCTTGCTCTCACTGCAGGGAGACAGTCACTCCAGTCCTCCTTGTTGGTTTAGTGGACCCCTACCTTTGTTTCACTCCCTCCACCTATTTTAATACCCCAAAGACACAAGAAACAGGACAGGACTCTGTTCTCCCAAACCTCTTGCAACTTAGTATTTTCACAACTCAATTTTCGTGGGTTCTTCCACAAGTAAGAGAGATACTGGAAAACCGAGGAAGTATATGTCATTTTCATAAAATGTCAAGAAAAGATGGCGTTCTCAAAGACCGGTCAACCTGTAACAGCACAGCATTCGTAGTATGTAAATGTGTCCTCTGATAGCAGCCTCCTGGAATTCTGAGAATTTCAGAAGGTGATGATAGTATCAAAATTACAGGAAGTTCTGAAGAAAAACAATTCATAAGTTCCTGTGTGATTTTAAAGATTTTTAAATACAAATAATCACACTTAAGTGTTAGTATTGTTTTTTGGTATTTCTCCTGGGAAAAAAATTATAAAGAGGTGCGCCTTTACATGTATCTTTAAAAATCCCAGAAATCTTATTTCTGACAACCTGCCACCACGAATTGCTACAGCAGGATCCCTGTTACCTTTTACTTTTATTTGTTACCAGCTAATTTAAATGCAATTGCTCTAACCATCAGGTCACCTCAACTATCAGAGGAGCATTTAAATATGTGTTTTCTGAGTGGATATAAAACCTGTTTACCTAAGTGATTTCACAGGAGATTCTTGCTGACAGATTAGAGGACAGGTCTTAGCTTTCTTAAACAAAAATAAACAAAACCCTAAAATGAATGGGACATAGTAAGTTCCCAATATATTGTTGTCTCATTGTTGAGTCAATCTTTGAAACAGTTAAAACTTGTGTTTTTAAAAAAACTCTTACATATAAATTATTTAAGGCAGTGTTTCTTGAATTATGGCAAAGGACCACCACTTGAATCAGAATTGCTGGTGTGTTTAATGCCAATGACTCAAACTCCCCATAGATGCCTCGAGAATTTGAATTTAATTCCTGCCCCCACCCCCGCCCCACCCCCGATTCAAGCTCATTTCAGTTCAGAACCGCCATTCAACTGCCTTGTCTAACGCAATGAAGTTTCCAGCTGATTCAGGGTATTACTTCCATGTCTCTCTGCCAATATCAAGTTCATCCCTTTCCCACTCTGCCTCCAGTAAGTCATCCAGCCCCTTGCTGAGGTAGCATCCATACTGGACTCACTGCCGTTTACTCTTAAGCAGGGAGAACTGTCTGGCTCCGGGGACACGGACAGCCACCCATGTTAGCCAACTGAGGGGAAACGTAAATGAAACAAAAGTGCAGTTCAGAGATTCGAGATCCATTTGGAACTCGTCTGGGAGGAGTAGGCTGAATGGGAGGACAGAAAAACTTAATAAGGTCTCCGGTATCATCTTGTGCGGGTGCTCTGGCTCCGGTGACGGGTGTGTTCGTTCCCTTTGTAGGATCTGCTTTGGGCGAATAACCCGGCGCGCACTCGGCTCTGGCCCGCGGCCGCGGCCGCGCCCCGGGGACGCGGACGGCGCGGGGCTGGGAGGGGCCGCCCCGCGCGGTGGCGCCCCCGGCGCGGCTCCGGGGAGCCCTTTCTCTGCGCTGCCGCCAGGACCGCCCGCTCCTCCCAAGGGAAGAAGCGGTCGGTCCGGATCAGCGTTGCGTCCACGTCCCTCCGTCTCTCTCCGCCACCTCGCCCCTACAAGCTCCATTGTGTTGTGCGTTGATCGGCGCCTCCAGCGCAGACCCGCACCCTCAGCAGAAGGACTCCTCGCGCCTCCTCGCCATGGAGCTGTACGGAAAGGTGAGCGAAGGGCGTCCCCTGCGAGGTCTGCAGGACGATTCGCCTTACAGACTTGTGTGTGTGCGAGCGTGCTAGTGTGAGTGCTTGTGAGCGTTGTGTGTGTGCAATCGTGTGTCAGTGTGACTGTGCGCACGTGTGTGTGTGCACGTGCATGCGTGCGTGTGGCTGTGCGTGTCAATGTATGGGTGCGTGAGTGGTCGTGTGCTCAGTGTCAATGTGAGCACGCGCGCGCGTGTGAATGTGTCAGTGTACGAGTGTGTGTGCGTGTGCGCGCGCGCGTCATAGTCTGAGTGAGTGTGCGTCCGTGTCAATGAGAGTGTGTGTGCGCGCGCGCGCGTGCGCCTTCTTGACGCGACGGTACCGGTAACCCGTTTTTGCCAAGTGTGTGCTGTTCGGCGCCCTCTCTTCGTCTTTTGGGGTGACAGTGTGACACGAGCCCGCCTGCCTGTGGAATAAACTGTCCGGGTCCCGGACGGCAGGTGTAGGGCAGAGTCGGAACGCCGCGCAGGTGACGTTTGTATTGGTCATCAGCACCGGGCAGCGCGTTTCCTAACCTGGAAACCCAGTACAGCTTCGGGAGGCGACAGGTGGAAACTGGAAATCTGCAGCTGAGGCTGAGCAAGTCCGCAGGCACCTGGGGAGGGCTGGGGGCCAGGGTGAGAGCAGTCCCAGGAGAAGGAGGCGCGGCGGCCGAGTGCGGCTGGTAGGAGGGCGGCCTGTGCTCTGGGTCGCCGGGAGTTGTAGTTCGCGGCTGGTGGGCTCGTGGGTCGTGTCTGGGATCTGGACTACAACTCCCAGGAGCTCAGGCGCCAAGCCGAACTGCGCATGCGCCCTAGGAGGGGGACAGCGCCGGTGCTGATTTCGGGCGGGTCAGCGAACCCGAGGGTGCGGAGCGGGGAGCGCGCGCCGGGCTAGTGCTGTCGTCCCCGAGAGCGAGGACCGCCCGAGAACAATGAGACACGAAGCTCCCCTGCAGGTGGGTCTGTGCAGAGCGTGTGGCCTCGGGAGGGACTGACGGAGATGCTGGCACCCTCGGTCCAGGCGGCCACCGCGGGGAGCGCTTTCGACTCGGTCGGGGGACATACGCGTCCCCGTGGGGGGTGGGGGTCCTTGTCGCTGTCCTGGGCTCCGCAGGGACCGCGAGCGCGCCTGTGTGCCTGTGAGCAACAGTCCGGGGCGTGGAGTCGTGTGTCACCCGTTGTCCCGGGTCTGAGACAGCGGTGCTGGCGTACGGGCTTCAGACCGGCGGGCGTCCAGTGGTCCGGGGGTCGGGACCGACCCAGCGCCTGGCCAGGAGCGAGGACGGGAGGCGGTTTTAGGGCACCTTCAGTGTAGGCACACAGGGGGCTAAAACGGAGGGCTCGGCGCCACCCGGAGGCCTTTCACCTCTGACCCCGTCAGTTCACCCCTGCCCTTCACCTCTGACCTCGGCCATCTCCCTTCTGCCCTTCACCTCCGACCCCGGCAGGTTAATCTCTGGGCCCCGAGACCCCCTGAGTAATGCGTCCACTGGGTTGCTGGGCGCTCAGCCCCTTCAGTCTCACTCGGGTTTGCTGCCATGGACTCCGGGGCTGAGCATTGAGATTAACTTCTGTTTTTAAGTAACGATTAGCGAACACTGCTCATCAGCCTGGGTTTCCCGGACCATGTGCCACAGAACCAAGCAGGTGCGCAGGGCCACGCGACAGTGGGGTCGGGGGATCCTCGCGAGAGCTCACCTCAGCTGCCAAACCCAGCAGTGCAAATATTTGACCTTAATTCTTTCTGAAATGGTTTCTTTATGAATCAAGGACTTTAAACATATGCATCTATTTATTTTTCATCTATCTTATGGGTTATGTGCATTAAGCTATACACTGGACTGTGAATGAAAAAACCACAAATCTGCAGAATGTTTGTTGAAAGGTTATACAGTGGAAGCCCTCAGATTACCATATGAGTTATTGAAGATTTGCTTTGTTCTAGAGAACGGGGCCCCATTGTGTGTTTTCTGATACCTCTGTTTGTGGCTTGGCTTTGCACTGTGAACCTGATGTGAACAGAGTCTGGAGACAATGAAGGTGCAGGCTGTAGCTGTGCAAATACATTGGCCGATGGTGATTTTCCATTTCTAGAGACACTGCCAGCAGCCACCTAGCTACATTAATCATGTTTGATTAGAAGTAAACACTGACAGCGGAGTTTAAAAGTAGATTGTTAGTACTTATGTCAACCTCGTATAGGTACTGAAGTGCTTCTGTCAAAATAAACTACTAAAACTGAACCACAGTGCATCATGATTTTTATTTTCATACAAGAGCAGCTTGGAATCTTCATTAAAATGTTACAGAACTATATGAAATTAATGCCTTAGGAAATGTTTTGCATTATTTCACATCAACTATACAGCAGTCAATTTAATGAAGAATTAATATAAGAATAGGTTAACAAAATTAATTTGCTATTTTCATATTTATGGTGTACTTGACTCACTGGACTAGATTTTTGAGATTTAACATTTTAAATGCCTAAATACTCCCTGGGTGGTGTGGCTCAGTGGATTAAGTGCCAGCTTGGGAACCAACAGGTCACTGGTTCGATTCCCAGTCAGGGTACATGCCTGGGTTGTGGGCTCATGAGAGGCAGCCACACATTGATGTCTCTCTCCCTCATTCCCTCCCTTTTCCTCTCTCTAAAAATAAATAAATAAAATCTTTAAAAATTTTAAATGACCAAATGCTATTGTGAATAACATACATTTTAAGAAATCAGAGAGTATTTTCTGTATTATATTTAATTAAAACACATTTGATTTAATTTAACAAGTAAATTGTTGTTTTGGTGATCCTCTCTTTGTTATAATCAGACTTTCAAACATATAATGATAGGAAGAATAAAAACTGTAAACATGCTTTATATATCTTAAGTAGCAAGAAGCAGCATCCATAACTCTGAATTATAATCCCATTCCAGGAGACTTAGATATATGAAAATGCAACAAGATTAATAGTTGGAATTTCTTTTTTCTTCCATTTAAAGACTGAATGGACTACATTATTTTAAATATATACTCTTAAATTTTACTGAGGTTTCTGGACAATGGGTGACAAGCAAAACTTCATTCTATAGTTGCATTATCCTAGGAGATTATTTTCCCCATTTAAAAGTATTTGGTTAAGATAGAGTGAAAATGGAGACAATTGTACTTGAACAACAATAAAAAATTAAAATAAAAATATTTAATTTGTTGGTGTGAAACAAAATGAGTTCTTTAATTGTGTATTTCAGACCTTACTTGCATATTTTCTTAAGCCAAAGAAGCCCTTTAAAAATTATATAATGTCTTTTAAAAGGCATTTGATGTGCTTGTATCTTGGTGTTCTGTTCAAGGTAGTTTTTGATATAGGGATATTTTTTAAATCCTCACCCAAGGACATGGTTATTGATTTTAGAAAGAGAGGAAGAGAGGGAGAGAGAGAGGGAGAGAAACATCGATCCGTTGCTTCTCACACACTCCAGCTGGGGACTGAACCTGCAACCTAAGCATGTGCCCTGACCAGCAATCAAACCTTGGCCTTTCGGTTTAACGGATGACACTTCGATCAACTGAGCCACACCAGCCAGGGCAATATAGGAATTTTTTTAAAAAAACATTGCTCTCTGAGTTGATGCAAAGTAAGGAGTAATGATTGTTTTTTTATAGTGACTATTAAAATAAAATACCATGATAACATTTGATTTCCATATTTCCTTTGTCACTAAATAACTGGAAATAGCATTTGGTAAGTGCTCCAACTGATGGGCTAGAAGGTTAGAATTTTTAGGCAGAAGTGGTCACTTTGTGCCTCGTTCAGGGGTCAGTCCCCAGGGCCAGATGACATGGGCAGGAGCAGTGCCTCTGATACAAGGGAGGGACTCGTGAACAGACTGTCATTTGATTCAGGAGCCAGACTGAGCACAGTCCAGCTCACTTAGTGCTTCGTGCCAAGCGCTGTGCCTTGGATTCAGAGCTCTGTGTGTCTGTGTGTGACTGTGTGTGTGTATGAAGTAGAAGACAGCCCTGGAGGTCACCGTTACTGACTCCAGTCAAGTACCTGCAGCTTACTGAGAGTAAGTAACTCCCAACACGGTGGAGTCGAGATTCTGCCAAACCTTCGTCCGGAAAGCCCATGTTCTTTCTCCTGTCACCCTGGGCTTCCCACGAAGACACAGGAGAGTGCTGGAAGGGGCCAGGGCACTGTGGGTATCAACCGATCCATTCATTTGGTTCAGAAGAAAGAAAAACGGTCATCTTCTGTTTATAAAACAAACCTATATAAACTAAACCAAACATTTCAGAAGGGCCCGTGCTTTAAAAATGGCTTGATTTTTGTTTCCTGGATTTGAATTTCTTGCAGGTTGGCCTGCTGTCTTGCAGGACCAACGTGGAATCCCTTGTCTCCGATCAAATGCTCAGTCTTCTGTTTTCGTTGGGTCATCTCAGAAATGCAGAGCATTCTGGCTATTTAGGAAACCATAAAGAAAAACATCTACCCATGTATGAAACAGAGTGCAAAAAAATGAAAAGAGATTGTTTGCCTGAAAATGAGGAGAATTGGAGAAAGAATATAGATGTAGCCTGGAGATGAAGTTGAGGTGATGTTCAATGCAGCCACGCTGTCTAGAGAAGCAACTTAACAAGAAGTACGGTCTGAGTACACACTGTCTCGTTCGACCATGAGAAGTGCGTGTCTCTCCTGCCTTTCATGATACCTGAATTGCCAACAGTGTCCAGCCTCAGAGATGACCCCTTCCTCTTTATGAGAAACAGAAATTTAGTTCCTGCCCCTCGGGGAGGCAGAGAAGCAGGTGCCTCCTTCCCGTTCCCGTAAGGAGGGTGCCTAGAAGTGCCGGGCAGACACCCTCACCTCGTCCCCTCAGAGGGGGCTCCCCCTTTCTCCACAAAGTGCTGCAGTTTTGGGGTTGCTGCTGCAGGCTGAGACACCCTGTCACACTGAGGACATTTCTTCTGATCTTTAGTCTCCCAAGAGTATTTGTTTTGAACATAAATGGGTGCTGAATTTTGTCGGGCACTTGCTCGGCACCTGCTGGGCGATCACATGGTTTATCTCCATTCTGTTGGATGTTGTTCATGGATTTTTGAGTGAACCCAGCATTCTCTAGAGAAATCCCCCTTAGTCCTTTCCATGTGTTGCTGGATGCAGTTTGATTATATTTCCTTGAGGATTTTTACATTTAAGATCATGATGGATATTGGTGTGTGATTTTCTTTTAATGTCTTTATGAGGCTATAATATCACAGTCATGCAGTCCTTATAAAAGATAAGAAGTGTTCTTTCCCCTCTGTTTTCTGAGTAATTTTGTGATTAATACATGTTGGTATTCAAAGTGTTTTAGAGTTCATCAGTGAAGCCAGTGGAGGCTGGAGTTTTCTCTGTGGGGAATTTTTTTGATAAATTCAACTTTACACACACACACACAGACACACACACACACCCCTGTCATCCAGCTATCTATCTTGTCTGCCTACTGACCTACCTACCAGCCTGTCTACTACCAAACTTCTCCATCTGTCATCTGTCTATCTTCTATCACCCATCATCTATCCTCTGTCGATCGTCTGTCTTTGAGGGGTTGCTATCCTGCCTTCCACCATATACTGAAGATGGCAAGTGGAGAGAGAGATGGAGGGACGGATGATGGGCGATGGGTGGACGACTGCAGGAGTTTAGCAGGGGGGTGTCCTGTCCCCAGTGGGAGGCTGGAGTCACTGCTGAGAGGCTCTGGAAAAGGCAGTATTGGGTTGAGTGGGAAGTTCAATTCTACGATTCTTTTTTTGGAAATTAATTCAAAAGTAATGCAATTTTCAGTGTTATCTTTTCTGTAACTTTTAGGAGCTCTCATTTGCTCTGGGGGAGGTTACTGCCTGCCCACCATTTTTTCAAATTCTAGCTGTAGTTTCCCATGTATTTAGAAGTATCAGCAAATTTACACAGCAAGTGTCTATAATTCCTTCTGACATTACTGTCAAATCGCTTCATTTCTGTTCTCAGCAAGGCATTAGGGAGTCTCTTTCTCCATCCTCTGAGCCAGGATTTATTTCCTTATTCTGAAGTTTAATAAAACGTATACATTCCCAATGCACATCCTTTTGGCCCTCTGTGAATCTCACTGAGGATATAGATCAGGCAATAGTAAAAATTCTTCCAGGAGAGTGGATCAGCACCCCCTCTAATCAACCCCTCGGGGGCTTGGGGTTCCTGCTGCATACCCACCTCCTTCGCCCTGGTACCCTCAGTGCCCCGTAGCCTCTGCTGCCCGTGGCCAACCTGCCCTCGTGAGGGTAAATAGAGTCAATGCCCACACTGCAGAGAGTCCCACCTCGCCTTTCCCTCTGAGACCTCCAGAGGACACTCAGGGAGCCCCCACAGGGAGGGCCTCTGTTTCTGCAGGAGTCGGGTCAGTCTGGTTCTGGAACAGGACTCGGGATTGATGGCCACGGAGAACTCATCCCGTGTTGTCTTGAGGCCACGGGGATGGCCAGGGCTCAGGGGCCTCACCCTGCAGGGCGGTGGGCGCCACGCATGGTGGGCTGTCGGGGGCACAGCTCTGGGAATGGGGGTGTGCGTGTCCTGACTGGGCAGTGGCTGAACACTGTCCCCCTGGGGTCTGAGCTGGCTTGTCCAGAAGAGTCGAGAGCTCCACGGCGGCCCTCTGCAGGCCTGGCTGGACTCGGCTGAACCCTGAGCGGGGTAGGGAGTACCAGGTGCTGAAAGAACTGTGTCTGTAGGAACTTGCCAAAGGTAACAGTTACCTGGCCTTGTTGGGGGGCCGGAGCCACCAGAACAAGGTGTCATTGTTCAAATGATCGTCGAGATTGCAGGCCTGTTTTTGTCCCTGACTGGTGCTTGGGCTGCGGGGGGATTATCTGGGTGCGTGGACTCCTGGAGCAGAAAGGAAGGTGACGCCTGCGTCGGGGGGCCAGGTCTTCCACCAGCAAACACTCGCTCCAGTTGTGATCAGTGGGGACATCTGTGTGGTTCCACGGACTTAGCAGGAGAAATGCTTCACCTGACACTCACTAAGGAAGTGCCATACGTGACCAGAATTTTTATTGTCCTTAGATTTTATCATGTCTACAGATTTTCCTTTTGTTCTTATTCTTATGCATACAATTGTGCTCTCCTGACAACACAGAGGGACTGTGTCGTCCCACCCTCTCCCACTTCCCACTTCCCACTTCCCACAGCTGTCTGTGAACACACACCCCGACCTCAGCAGGCTGCACCGTTGTCCAGGACGCTGAGCACTCGTGACTGGTTCCAGTGCCGGTCGTGCGCTGGGGAAGCTGCCGCTGTTGGTCAGACTTTACAGAAACGACCGCAGCCGGTATGGCCCCTCCCTGCTCCTCAGAGCCTCTGCAGTCATGACAGTGCTTCCTGCCCGTCGGGCTCAGTGCAGCGGCGCGGCCCCCGTGGCTGGTGTGACGGAGGAACTGTGTTCAGTCAGGGGCACCCAGGCCCGTGGGACCAGTGGCTCCCTCCCCGGGCAGCATGAAAAGTGCCACGGAACGCCCGAGTCGGGAAAGGCGCCACTAAGAGGGCTGTGGCTCGTCCTCCCAAACACCCCTCGGCTCTGAGCCCATGGAACTCAGACCTCGCCCTGGGTTTGGTTTGGTGGCTGTAGTGCGATCACCAAAAAATGAGAAGTAAATCAACATCCACGCCCACATTTCTAACTAATAACCACATCATTCTTCCTGCTGTGCTGGCTGCCTTACACATCTGCTTAAACAAGCGTTATTTTCACAAGTGTTCCAAGTTAGATCACACTTGTTTCCATTTCACCTAGGGGAGGGAGGGAAGCGAACGCACCAGTTTAAAGTAACAAATTCAAGGTCACTGGCTCCAGGGGTTCCTTCGGCTGCATGTCTCACCGTGAGCACCCCGTTCGTCTTTCAGAGCAGATGTGCACCTCGTCCTCATGTGAGACGGGTGCTGGCTCAGAACGTGGGTCCCGCCCGGTGCGTCCTGCCTCCCCGGTACATGCCACTCCTGTGACACTGGGCACATCACTTGGTATTTCTAAGCTTTAGTTTTTTCCTTTAATGTGGAAGTAATGAAGGCACCCACCCCATAGGATTGTCCTGAGGTTTAAATAAATTAGTAGTTCCTGGCACATTGTTTGAATCATATGCATTTGCCATCGGCACTATTTGTAATTTGAAAGAAGCTGCCACTTATGTTCAGGTGTTAGCGAATGAACTAGAGGCAGGCCTTGGGAGTGCTCGCCTGGGAAATCTGGGGACCCCGAGGACTCGGAGAAGGGACATCCTGCTGTTCCGACGTGGGTGTGCCCACCTCCGGGACTGTGACGTTCCTGAGCCCACAGGCTGTGGCCAGGCTTCATGTTGTCGCTTATCACGTTGCCACACAGAGGTCCCCTCCTGGGCTTTGATTGGTTCTGGACACTGAGCACCGCAAGCCCCGGCCCAGGAGGGAAGGGCCAGGAGGGGTGGGCCCTGTCTCCCAGCGGGGGCTGTCGCCAGGGTTACATGTCAGGGAAGAGGGGTGCACTCTGCCCAGTCCGGTCTGGATGGACTGAAAGGCCAGCGGTGAGCGAGCCACGGAGACTGATGGCGCCTCTTCTGTCCCCCCCGCAGATGGCCTCCGCCCAAGACGCCAGGGCAGGCCAGAAGGAGTCCTCCGACCAGAACTTCGACTACATGTTCAAACTGCTCATCATCGGCAACAGCAGCGTGGGCAAAACCTCCTTCCTGTTCCGCTACGCGGACGACTCTTTCACGTCCGCCTTCGTCAGCACCGTGGGGATCGACTTCAAAGTCAAGACTGTGTTCAGAAACGAGAAGAGAATCAAGCTTCAGATTTGGGTGAGTGACCTTAACTGATGGCAGCCTGCAGTCCGGGCGTCCCACACACCTGTGTGTGACGGCGGGCGCCCTGCCTGTCTGTCCATCTGTCTGTCTGTCTGTCTGTCTCCAGGGCTCCACAGCCTCCATGGCCAGGCGCTCTGCTGTGGAAGGTGCTGTTTCCAAGGCAGCAGAGCGCAGCCTCTTCACGGCTTGGAAACTGACTGATGCCTTGTCAGGTGTCACTTCCTGAGCGTGTTCAGAAAAGAGAAAATGTAGTCGCTGTTGTGTTGGTGGCAGGGACAGCCAGTGAGACGGCTGTGCCGGTGTGGCCGGCGTGGCCCCGGGCACGTGTGCGCGCCTGTGGGCCACTCTTCTAACCCGCGTGGAACGGGCCTCACGGTTCATGCGGCAGGAAGCAGCCTGTGTCCAGCGCTTTAAAGAAAAAGCGAAGAACCAGGTGTAGAGGAAGCTTGAGTCTAGGCCCTTCAAAAGGCCCAGATGTAACGTCGAACGTGATCTGTTCACACTTCACAGACTGTGCTCCCAGCTCTAACAGTTATGTTTATCCACACAAAGAAAACAAGTGAAATAAGATATTTATTTTAAAGCAGGGTCTCCCCCTAAGTACAAGGCTCTCCAGTCAGTTCCGAGACCACTGGCTGGCTTCCTGCCGCTCTCTGACCCCGGCAGGAGGTCAGAGACCCCCAACCTAGAACAGCCAGTGAGAAACAGAAAACAGATGCAAGCTCAAGGTACCGTGAGGGATGACGTGAGCAAAACATTCATACACACGAGACAAGCATGTACTAAGCATGTAGATCCATGAAATAAAGTAGACATGGGCAGAACATGCTCTGGTTGGTCGAGGCCCCTCTTGCTGTTCACGTTACCCCACCCCCCACTGAGGTGGGTTCGGGCTTTAGCAGATGTGTCCCGAGAGGTGGAATCCACACCTTCTGCTGGGACAGCCCTGACCCCACTCCCTGCTGCAGGTGGCCGGGGGCAATCCAGGCCCGGCAGAGGATACGGCCCCTCCTCAGATACCCAACGTCCAAGGACAGGCAAGCCCTGGGGTACAGTGTTTAGACATGTTTGAAATAAAAGAGCCTTTATTAAGACAGTTCTATAAACTAGATGACCTTTACCTATCGTAAAGCCTTTGGCAGTGAGATGTGAAGATGCAGGTAAATGCACAGACGGGGTCCTCTCAGGCAGTTTCAACAGTGCGTGTCTCTTGTTCTGACGCCAGAGTCTTCTGGGTCAGGTTAGAACTCAGGTGAGAACTTGAGAGACTAGTCCCCAGCCCCAAACTTTATCCTGGGAAGTCTTCTCGAGCAAGGAGCTGTTTTTCTGAAGCTGGCGGTCTCCCCAGGTGCATCCTGGGGGGGCCAGAGAGGGGCCTGTGAAAGCAGGTGCCTGTCCCGGAGAGCGGAGGCCTGCGGGGAGGACGTGGCCGGAGCGGCGGGCGGCGGGTCCCGGGGTCTCTGCTTCACGCTGCAATGTGCCGTTCCTGTTGTTAATGACTTCGAGAAATCATTTAATTGGGAACGAATTTGTCATTGAGGCTTGTCATCTCACTGCATTTTAGTTACCAAACAACTGTTTTTCCCAGTTCATAGTATTTTGATGAACTTAGGTGAATGTGTAAATGAGTTATTGAGAAGCCCACAGTCCTCTCAGCCTGTCCTGCCATCTTTCCACTCACACCACTTCTGACAGCCAGCGTGTGGGTTCGGCCAACACAACTAGTCTTTAATCCTCTGTCGGTGCCTCCTGGCTGTCCCACCATTTCAGTTCTGACCCTCACCACCTGGATGAACAGAGACTCGCCAGGTAAAGACCTCAGTTCCGCGGGCAAGGCCCCCACCCTTCAGAGACCGATTGCAAGTCTGGAGGCTGCACAGCCTCTCCTGTCGGGGTTGGTAATTGTCTAGAGCGGCTCACGAGACTCAGGGAAGCACTGGACTCACTGTTACTGGTGTATTTAAAGTGTACAGCTTGGGGACAGCCATCTAAAGAGCAGCAGGGACACAGCATGGGGGACTGGGGAGGACCTGTCCCTTCCAGCACCATGGTGTGACTCCTCACCCAGCTGCCAGGGCCTCCCGTCCTGCAGGAGAAACTGATTTTCAGCACCTGCCACTCCAGGAGGTCGGGGGTGTGGCTGGAAGTCCCCACCCTTTGATCGTGGTTCCTCCTTCTGGCAAATTGTCTCCATGGTGAAGCCTTGCAGGGGCCCACGGAGAGTCCCCTCCTTGGGAAACAGGTAGAATGGAAGGGGCCTATTGCGAACAATCCCAAAGCCAAAATTCCGAGGGTTCCAGGAGCTCTTTTGCAGGAACCAGGACGGAGGCCAAATGCGCATTTCTTACTTCATGCCAGCAACACAGCCTGTTGCACATTTCAGGGGGGAGAAAGCAGAGTGGTCCCACAGGTTAGTCCAGGGCAGCTGGACCTTTCCCCAGACACCAGCCAGGTCCTCAGCACCCTCCTGGTGCGGACCCCCCGCAGACAGAGCTCCTTTCTGGAGAGCAAGCCAGACAGAGCGGGGCGAGTGCCGAGGCCGGGCCGGGTCTCAAGGCCATGTCTGCTGCTGCCCAGCCGCCACCTGCGCTGGCCGGGGATGAGCTTTGCAGCTGGCTGCCAGCGGCACCCCTGGCACAGGGCGCCAGGCTCGTCCAAGTCAGCTTTCTAGCCTGGGCGGGACTGCGTGGGAGCCTCCCCTGTTGTTCACTTGGTGCTTTGCTTGTCGCCTGTGCTGCCTGGGGGTGTTCTGAGCCCCAGACTGGACACTGGGGTCTCCGGAGTCCACGTGGAAGGAAAGCATCTGAATGGTGACAGAAAACGTGACGGTTCTGCTGGGACATGTCATGCCTCCATTCTGTTGAGGTCCGTCGCTGCCTGGGAACAAATGTGCTTAGAAAACATCGTCGTTCATCGAGTTAGTTACAGACCTTGTGTCCCATTGGTGTTCTCACGACAACCTCCTCCACTGTGTCAACATTGCTGTCGCTCTCGCATCTGATGATCGCTTTTATGGTCCTCAAATCAAAGTTTTTCAAAATTTTAGAGATCCCAAGTATTTAGGTTGGTGCCTTTATTATTTTGCGTCATTTAGTGGTGTGACAAATAGGCTGGAGAGAAACTGAGTGTGGCGTTTCACTTTAATTATAGGAAGAGATTTCACAGCTGGGGCCTATAATATTGTAGTTTAATTTAGAAAGTAGTTTAGCCTCGAGAATGGCGATGTAGGGTGGCTCCCCTCCCAGGGAGAACACTGCAGACGGCGCAGCCTCCGTTAGCAAGATAGTACCTGCCGTGCTCCTGCTCCGTGCGTGGACTGCCGCTGTGGGAGCAATGGGGCTCAGAGAAACCCGCAAGCACGGAGTGTGGTCGCTGCTGAAACGGCCGTGTGGGAGGCCAGACTCGACAGCCTCCTTTGCTCAGGAAGCACCGGGCCCCCTTCTATCGTGGGCTTTGCAGAGTTCACGTCCAGAGCTCAGGGCTGATCTCGAGGGTGGAAGACCAGCTCAGTGAATACAGGTGGAGCGTGGGTGGGGCACTGAAGGCAGCAGGCGGCTGTTCCCTTGGGTGTCATCGCAAGCTTTGTCTCCTGTCTTTGGCTCCTTTTCTCCCCAGCACTTTTCGAGACTCCTGTCTGCCCCGCCCTGTCCCATCCCGAGCTCTGGGCTGTGGCCGAGCTGCTGGGAGACTCGCCCTCTCATGGGTCGGAGGCCAGGGCTGCGCCCCGCCCAGAGGGCCCCTTGCTGAGCTGTGCGCAGGTCCTTGTCATAACTCGGCTTCCTGCCTGTCGAGCATCGCTCCTGGTCCAGGGGCCACCGGGGTGCCCCAGCACTCACAGAGAGCCATGTGCGGAAGCTGTGCCACCATCTGGTACAGGAGAAGACGAGGTGGCTGAGAGGACACACCGCCTCCCTTGCTATGGCCTGGGGAAGAGCGTGTTCTAAAATACAGGTTTTAGCATCTTTTTTTTTATGAACAGAAAAGAGAGATAGTGTACACTGCTGTGCTGGTTTGTTTCTTAAAATAAATTTAATGACAGCTTCATCACGGGTACTTTGTACTTCCATTTCTACAAAACAAGAGTTAGAAAAACGGTCAAGAGGAGCGGGACGCACAGCCTCCGCCCCTGTGGGGAAGGGGTGTGCGGGGGCAGGCGGCAGGTGGGGGTCGGTTCACCGGGCCCGGGGGCAGCGTTGTCCCTGTTTGTCACACCGACTGGGCGCTCAGGGCAGGTGGCCGTGGCTGGACTGTAAGAGCCCAGTGGGGAGGTGGTCAGGGGTAGGGCTGGACATTGGTTGGTTAGCACGTGAAGAGCGAGCCTGTGGGTTTCTCATCATCTCTAGGAGTCGGCTCACTGCAGGGGGTGGAGGCAGCCCCTCCAGAGTCTGTGGGCCCCAGAGGTCAAAAGTCAGAACAGAGAGAGAAGGAAAGGCAGGTTCTTGGAGCCACACAGGTGGCTTCTGGCACCGACCCCGACCGTGGTTTCAGCCACTGCACTGGAGGCCCCATGCACTCCTGGTCTCGGCGTCTGGAGCCGCAGGGCTCGGGGTCCGGTCTCGGTCTCACAGCGTCCTGGCCCCGCACCTTACTCGGTGACGTGACTGCGACAGTGTCAACCCGCGAAGTGAGCACTTTGTGTTTGCGTGCAGTTGAGGGTTTATTTTTTGCAACAACCCCATGAGGGAAGGTGGTATTATTAGCCCCATTAAATGAGGAAACCGAGAATCAGCAAGACACAGGAACTGGCCCAAGGTCACAGCCGTGCCGCGTCAGAGCAGGGCTGCAGCCAGGGCCCGTGTCCAAGGCCTGCACTTGACCACACAGAGGCCGCCTGCGAGACCAGGGGTCACAGGCTGTGTCGGAGGCCTGCAGGGCGTCTGATGCAAAGCCCTGGTCTCTTATCCCCATTTCCCCACACCAAGTCACCTCTGGACCCCTTCTGCCCTCCTTTGTCACCTGTCCCAGGAAGCCGTCTGCAGTCGTGGGATCAGTTG